GAAACTTTTCAGTTTCTATGTATACTTGCTGAACTGTAATGCAGAAACAACACCTACCTCCTCTGAGGAATTTCAGCTTGCCCAGGCAGGACTGGGTAAAATACATCTCACAATGACCAGGGACATGAACCATGAAGAGGTTAAATTAATAAATATATAGAGCTTCAGATTTATATTTCTCTGTAAAGATCATCAAGTCTGCAGGCATCGCAATATTGATCTTTTTCTGCAGTTATTTGCACTTCTTCAAAGTGAATATCCTAAAATGCAGGGTCTGACTGGAGGATGGTTGCTCTACAAGGCTACAGGTAGGGGTAACAAATGTTTATTACATGATAGTCCCATAATGTGCAATTGGGGCGACGGTGGCACAGGAGTTAAGTGCTTGCCCCGTAATCTGAAGGTTGCAGGTTCAAGCCCCGCTCAGTCTGTCGCTGTCGTTGTGTCCTTGGGCAAGACACTTAACCCATGTTGCCTGCTGGTGGTGTTCGGAGGGACCGGTGGCACCAGTTTCTCAGCAGCCTCGCCCCAGGGCAGCTGTGGCTACATTGTAGCTCATCCCCACCAGTGTGTGAATGGGTGAATGACTGATTGTGTTGTAAAGCGCCTTGGGGGGTTCCAGGACTCTAGAAGGTGCTATATCAAATACAGGCCATTTACCATTTATCAACTTTGTGAACTTGATCTGGACTCTACTTTTTTCAGGCGGTCAGGGTAAAAGGAAACTGACACTGGTCCCTCCTGATTCTGAAGGTTACACAGGGACCTTAATACGCAGAATGACAGGAAATGGGGAAAAACTTGTTGTATATAGTACCTTTACAGCAAGATTTTGACCTTACTCCGTTACCTCCTGATGCAGTCGAATTTGAAAATATACCCAAAGCATAATGCCAAACATGCAAAGTAAGTCTGCCATTGCACATTTTGGCTCTTCATGTGAAGGAGTGCACAGAGTCTGGGTCTTCAGCTGAGGACACAGAGGTACATACATCATAGAACAATATATGCATTTATTTTAATTAAATTGTATTGCATTGAAATGGCAATAAAAGAATTGTCCCACTTTTTTTTTATCTTAATCATTAATGTTATATGTCTATTAATTATGATAGGCATGTCAAACTGAGGTCCAAATAGTGTCTGTGCAACCTTCTGAAGAGCACACCAACACAGAGGAATTGGATGAAGAAGTAATATCTTCATAGAAATGAGTATAGAACATCAACATAACTACACTGGAACTCTATTCAATATTTTAACTCTCATTTCTGTTGTAGAAGCTTCAGTGTCCTATCTGTAACTTGAAATTTGCACCTTATTTCCTTGAAATCCATGCAAGCACATGTGGAGAAAGGTAGTTGAAAAAGCAGGGCTTTTTAAATTACATATAGGATATAACATCTTGAGAATTTGACATTGACGCACCAACGTTTTCTGTATGTTTATTAGAAGCAAAAATTTCACGGACATGGATGAAATTGAGGAGAACAAAAAAGAAAAGGAGCATATGAAAAGGTAAAACACATCACACACACAGATTAAATACTCTGAACTCTGAACTGAATAAAGATTGTTAATTCTTTCATTTATGGATTTTTTTTTGTGTCGATGATGTATTGGATGCCATTTGTCAAAGAGTTGATGTGGAGAAGCAGTTCAGCATCCTTATTTCAAGAACAAACATTCTGGAGAGAGGCCTTCTGCAGTGGCAACGTCAAAAAAAAAATCACCCACTGCCATGTCGAAGGCGTCCTTCTTTGGGGAAGCAGGAATCGACACTGGTGCCCTTAGAAAAGAATTTCTCACAGGTGAACTTAAAGAGATCAATTACTTTTCCATCCTTATTATGTTGATGAAATGACCAATCCCTACATTTTATACTTCTGTAATATATATTTTATCTTCTACATGAACTCTGCTCCAGTTGTGTTGTAAATATGACTCGATTTCTCCTTTACTAAACTATAAATCAATCATGTTTATCATTTGGGATGGACTGATATGAAAGTTCTTGGCTGAAACCAAAAATGAGAAAACCAAGGTCGAAAACCAAAACACCAAAAGGAAAATTGTCAGTTTTTTGAACCATAGAATGGCTGTGATGTGACAATGATGTGTTATGAGCTTATTGGTTTGGTGTTGATAAAAGGTGTCAATATTGTTTTGTCAAGTACTACTTTCTGTATACTATGATTGCTTTTTTGAATCAATGTTTTTTTAAATGGAATTCTCTTTTGAATCTTGATAGCTTTAACCTAGACTTTTATTTAATCATAATATGTATCTTTTTAAAATATTTGCAACAGATGTATTATGTTCCTTCAGTACATCTGTCATGTTAAGCCTATGACAGGAAATAAATATTTTTATCAAAACAAGCTTCTCTTGATTTCACAAATTTCGGGGCAACATCGCATTTCAATTTCACAAACACTGAAATATATCAAGACATATATATTATACATTTATATATATATAAATCAGTATTGCCTCAAATGAAAACAAAATATTGAACAAAATCTTATTTCACCCAACTCTAAATGAATGTTTTACATCGGATAATTCATAACATTCTTCTCTCAATAGAAATGGTCGCCGGAATCGAGACTTGTTTCTTTGGACCACCACACCAAAAAAGTCCACGCTATTCGCTTACTTACTTTGACAGCGGACTCTTCAGGTACGTTTATTTTAACGTAAGGGAAAACTGTCATGCTTTATACTATAAGCAATACACTCATGCTGTTTGTATAAGTAGGACTGTTGGTGAGATTCTGGCCGTCAGTTTGGCACAAGGAGGTCCTACCCCTACATTTTTAAGCCAATGGGCTTACAGTTACCTCTGCAATGGACAGATCAACCCAACACAGCTGGATAAAAATACAGTGGCAGATTCACAGTTGCGGTTACTGATTGACCAGGTGCTGTATAACTAGTAAAAATATTGCCTTAGTACACATTGCAGCTCTTACATGAATATAATTTAATCTGTTAAATATAAAATATTTTTGGGTTATTTTGTAAAATTACTTTTTGGTGGAATATTCAACTGAGCAGTCACTTCAGGGCCTTACTGATGAGATTTTAAACTGTGGATTCACTGGAGCCATCTCGGTTCAAAACAAGGAACCGATTGTCCGGTATGCTGTGACATGTTTTGGTTTCTCTATATAAATGTAAAAAAAAATAGCATCTGAAGATGTTGTTTAATCTCTTTTTTTTGTCCCCACAGAGCCATTACACTCCATGCTGTACTTAGATTGCAGCCAATGTTGGAACAACTCAAGGAGGGTTTGCAGCTGTATGGCCTCCACCTGCTGATTAAGCAGTACCCAGAAATATGCCAGCCTCTCTCCGTCCTTGGGGGAGATGTGAAAGTGAGTACAAATGTATTTTCACAGTTTTACATTTATGTATTACATACATTTACACATTTTGTTACATTACAGACACAAACATGAATCTATTTTATTGGAATTCCACATGAAATACCTACGCAAAGTGGTGTACATTATAGAAGTGGAACAAAAATCATACATGATTCCAAAGATTTTTTTTACAAATAAATAACTGAAAAGTGGGGCGTGTGTAATTATTCAACCCCGTTTGGCCTCAGTGTAGTCAGTTGCCCATAGACATTTCTTGATGATTGCTAAACATACAGTAAAGCCAGGGCAACAATAGAAAAACAAAACATATCCATGTGTTAGAACGCCCCAGTCAAAGTTCAGAGCTAAATCCAATCCAGAATCTGTGGCAAGATCTGAAAACTGCCATTCACAAACGCTGTCTATCTAATCTGACTGAGCTGGTGCTGTTTGGCAAAGAAGAATGAGCAAGAATGTCAGTCTGTAGACGTGCAAAGCTGGTAGAAAAATACCCTAAAAGGCTGGGAGCTGTAATTGCAGCAAAAGGTGTTTCTACAAAGTATTGACTGAGGGGGCTGAATAATTACACACATCACAGTTTTCAGTTATTTATTTGTAAAAAATGTTTGGACTCATGGATGAATTTCGTTACAATTCTCAATTGTTCACCACTTTGTATTGGTCTTTTATGTTGAATTCCAATAGAATAGATTAATGCATTAATGCTGAGTTTGTCATGGCGTCCATTCACCCTCAGCTGAGTGAGAAGGGAACCTCCAAGCATCAGGTTGAACTGGACCTGGTTAACTTCATTCTGGACTTGCTTTATGAATCAGAAGGTAAATGGTTATTTTTGTCTAGTTTACAGTTGTCAAATTTCAAAATTATATTCTAAGGTTTTTGTGACAAAATTTACACTTGTCTCGAATTCAAATATTTAGATATTTTTTCTCCAAAGGGCAAGGGTTCTTCAAAACGTCTTAAAATTTACTCTTATCCTAACAGAAGGTCCAGAACATCTAGCTGATGAAGATGGCCCAAGATCTATCACACCTGCCAGGTTTCTGCAATGGATCACCGGTCAAGGCCACGTTCCTCACCTCCCATCAGAAAAGAAGGACTTTGCTGTGGTGGTCAAATTTTATCACGATTGTGAAGCTGACTTTGGAAATCACAGCATCTGCTGTGTGTCATCCTGTGCTAAGACCAATGTCCTGCCTGTGAATCTTTTTTTTTTTTTTACTGTGTCCTGTCTGGCTGTGAGGCAAACAGAATTGATGTCTGAATGCTGGTAACAAGCCTTACAGATTTACTCTCAGGTGGAGATCAAAGTGTCTGCTTTTAATGTCACGCCTGATCCTTAAAACTTTATTGTTAACTTTATTGCTTTGTAATTCCGACCATACATGCAGTCAGAGGTGAAAGAGAAAGGAAAAGACAAAAGGTGGTGAGAGAGGGGGGAAGGGGGTGTTCCACAAAAATAAATAATAATGAACAAGAGTCTGCTTCTAGACCTGCAGAAAGAGACATGAAAAAAAGGCAAAAAACAAAAAAAATTATGGGACACAACAACAATACAACTAGATCAAGCTATCACTGCGTCAATTTGATGAAGAAATATATAATCAACATTGTTGAGGTTGTGAAGGGTTTCAAAGTGCACGCTTGAAACAGCCATCCACACATCTCGCCACAAGCGCTCTATTCTGTTCAACATCAAAATAAGTCAACGTTTTCAAAATTGTACACAAAAATTCAGTGAACTGAAAAAAATTTATGAACATTTTCCTTATTATTTCCATGGGACATTTATAAAAATACTACACATACCTTTGGTTGTGAACACTCTTGCCTGACAGAAAACTTCCTCTTCCACAGCCCCGGATAGTGAACATGCATCTTGCTATTCCAACATTTTCCACCCCTTGATCCCCTCGAACTCTAAAACAAAATGAAACATTGACAGTACAATTTTTTTAAATCTAAAAAAAATATGTCACTCTTAAAATTTATTGCAGCCTTTGTGTTTTAAATATAATTTTACTTTAGACTGGTTATTAGAAGTTTATTGTTTTGGTTATTCAACAGTGTGCAGCTCTGTATGAAACACACCTTTCAAGAATTTTAAATGTTTGAACCATTTAAACAAGAGTATGGAGATTTTTAAACAATTGATCATGTATAGTTTACGCATTGCATGCCAAAATAATTACACTGCTAATCAAGGGAAATAAATCATATTTACAGATTAGTACAGTCATTGTGAAAATTCATTTTGTGTAGATTTTACCTCAAGGGAAAGCCATACATTTGTACAGCCTCCAAGAAGAAAGCAAGTGCAGTTGTTGCTCTGTTGTTAGCAGCAGCACCCAGGTACATGATCTAGAGATGTAAATATCAAGTGGAAACTTTGTCAAGTCAAGTTACTATAATTAAAGATAGAAACATGTTTATCAGGTATTGTAGCTTGGTACATTTATTTTACATATATAAGGACAACAAAAAAAAGCAAGCTACATAATTCCCAAGGTAGCAAGCTGCCTTGAGATGAAGCAATAGTTGTAATCAACCATTCACCCAAATGCAAAGGGTAAAAAAAATTTATTTAGCAACTTGAAGAATTAGTTTATCAAGCATTTATAGTCACCAAATACTGACAAACCTAAATATATTAGGACCTTTTTGTTATACAGAAGGATCTCTATATTACAGTATATGGTAAGTTTTATGGTAGACCAAAACACCAGTATTTCACTTTTCAATTAACATCTCATTGAGTTCAATTTTGAAAGAGAAAAATAACCTTTCTTGAGTACCCATCTATCCCTCCGAATATCACCAGGCCAAATCTGTAAAAAGAACAACAAAAAACAACAACTAGGGTATTGACAGGTATAAACTATAATATAATTCAGTATTTAGCAGTATTGTCAGACATCGTTAGATCATAAACCAACATCATCCTACCTTAGTAGTTTATGGTTTGTGTCTATATGCATCAAGTAAATAGGACCTTGCACTGAATACGTCCTTCGGGCCACGAATCCCAGCCTTGTCATTCTTGATAAAAAATACCAGCAGAGTCCACACGGTGCATCGATGAGTACACTCTCTTCCACTGTACATGGTGGCCCATGGCTTGAAGCAACCCTTTCATCATCCTGTATCCAACATGAGTTGTTCTATTTCGTCTAGTCTTAGCCCTTAAGCGAGCTGCTATTGGAAGGATGATCTCCGCATCAGCCAATCATGAAGAGCTTAAATGTACGCCCACCAATAGTGGGCCCCCTCGTGGTATATAACCGCAGTGACCCCACTGCTCGCCTCCTTTTTCTCTTCATGCCAAGCTGAGAGCTTCTTAAAGAGCAAATTTATCCAGAAAGAGCAAGATTATCCGAGAAGACTTACCAGCCATGTCCAGCGACGCCAGACCCTGCCCGACCTGCCAGTCGGGCTCCATTTCCAGCGGAGACCTGCACGCTAAGTGTGAGGTCTGTCTCGGGGCTCACCACGCTGGCCTGGCCTTGACCCCGCAGGCCTCGTGCCCGTTCTGTGCCGCTCTGCCCGTGGCAGAGAAGATTCGCCGGGTCGAGTACTTCACTCCCGCCGCCGACGAAGAATTTCCGGTGGCTGACTCGTACCCGCTGGACAAGGCGTTGGATTTCTTCGACGCCGGTCAGGAGCCGGCTGGCTTCAACCGGCTGGATGACGTCACCGACAGCGAGAACTACGACGAGGCGGCATCCCTCCTAGACATAACGGAGGTCGATGAGCTCCGCCCAGCGGGTCCTTCTGCCCCAGTGGCTTCTCGCTCCTCCCTGCCAGCAGTAAGAGCACTGCTCCAGGAGCTGCCCGCCATCATTTCTGCGGCAGCAGCCCACAAGGGGCTAGCTGTGCCAGAACCAGCCCCGCCTGAAGCGGATGATTTGGCGAGAATCTTCGGGGCAACTCAGACACGCTGTCTAGACCCTATTTGGCCGCGCTTCCCTGCTGCTATGAGCTGCTGGTCTGCCGCCTTCTCCGAGCCTGCCAAGCTCAAGGCACCAGTCTCCACCTTTGCGCCCATCACCAAGGTCGAGGGGTTTTCTGACCAAGGCTGGCCGTCCGTTCCTCCGCTAGAGCCGGACTTGGCCTCGCTGTTTGGCGCCAAGAACCACCTCGCTGGCCCGCGAGCTGTTCCCGCTTCAAAACATGACCAGCTGCTGACGCGGCTCACCGACCGCGCACATCAGTGTGCCTTTCAGACCGGCGCTGCAGGGAATAACATCGCCCTCCTTGCCTTCGGCGTCTCGAGGATGATGGAGGAGCTGGAAGCCCCCGAGGAGTCGAAGGCCGTCATTACTAAGACTGCTGATGCTATCCTCAATTTGTGTGCTGCTGTGCTCACCGGTTCTGCTCGCATCGCTGCCTGGCAGACCCTCATCCAGCGAGCGATCTGGCTCAAGGCCCTGCCCTCCATTCCGGAGCATCTGCAAAGGGAGATGCTGGACGGCCCCATCACCACTGATGTGCTGTTTGGTCCCCATCTTAGGGGCGTCATTGAGAGGGCTCAGAAGACGGCCGAACTATCGGCTACGGTACGAGACCTGGTTCACCCTCGGTCAGCCTCGCACTCCGGCCGTTCTGCCAGAGGATGGGACGAACGGCGCGGAAGCTTCAAACGCCCAGCTGCACCGTCCGCTCCACGGAGCCGGCCTCCCGCTTCGGCTCCACATCAGCGGGACCAGCGAGATGGCGGGCAACGGTTCCGGCGGGGCCAGCAGACGCCGTCTTGGCAGTCCCAGGTGCACGAGCCTCGCCGAAAGCAGCCACGGAAGTGACTCTTTGGGGGGAATGTGTGTGTACATGATTGTAATGTTGATGTTGGTTTTGAAATAAAACCCAAAACATGTCACTCAAAGAGCACAATCCTACAGTCCTCCGCAGAATCTCCTGCCGAGTTCTCACACATGTTCCCCACACCAAGCACTGCTGCACGCTCACATGTTCCTGCAGGCAGTCATAATATACGGCCAACCGTAAGGGTGCGCTCCATTGGCGCTCCGGCCCCAGCATCCGGCCGGGCCCAACTCTCACCACATCGTCGGGTGGGGCGAGATGTCAGGTCGCTGTCTCGACCACGCGCGGCGGCACAGTGCGCGGCTTCGTCCGCTGGCACTTTGTCGCCCCCGTGCACAGGCTCGGCTCCCACTCGTCCTTCACTTTCGGACTGCACGCTCCGCGGTGCGGACCAGCCTGTTCCAGCTGTTTCGCACCCGCCCTTTCGAGCGCAGCCCTCCATGGGTCGCCCCCAGTTCTCTGGTACGGGCGACGGCGGTAAGGGCGCATGCACAACCCTCAGTCGTTGCTCACGTGACCGCGCACACGCGTCCTCTGTCGGAACGCGCGCACGAGTGGCGCCGCCTTTGTATCATGAGCAAATGGATTTCGGACACCATTCATTGCGGTCACACACTTCATTTTCAGGTCACTCCACCTCCCTTCAACGGGATCGTGGAGACGACGTTCACATCGCAAGTACAGTCTCAGGCTCTAGAGCTGGAGTTGCGGGAACTTCTGTCCAAGGACGCTATTTCACGAGTCCCTCGCGGACAAGAGCTCTCGGGCTTCTACTCCCGCTACTTCATAGTACCGAGGAAGTCGGGAGGAATGAGACCGATTCTCGACCTGTCCCTGTTCAACTGCTCCATAGCAGTAATGCATTTCCGCATGTTAACGATGAGACAAGTCCTGGAATATGTGCGCCCCGGGGATTGGTTCACGTCAATCGACCTGAAAGACGCATACTTCCACATACCAGTAATTCCGAATCACCGGAAGTTTCTGCGTTTTTCGTTCAAGGGAGTTCAATATCAGTTCAATCGCCTCCCTTTCGGCTACTCGCTAGCCCCGCGCACCTTCTCCAAATGTCTGGAGACCGCGCTGCAGCCACTGCGCACGGAGGGAATGAGGGTTTTATTTTACTTGGACGATCTTCTCCTGTGCGCTCGGTCCAAGGACGAGGCGTCACAGCAAACCAGGAGGTTGACAGAGCATCTGTCGACCCTGGGGTTTTCTATAAACTGGGAAAAGAGCTCCGTTCTTCCATCCCAGTCGATTGTGTATCTCGGGGTGGAGTTGGACGCCTCCCTGATGAGAGCACGTTTGTCGCCTGCAAGAGCGGCAGATCTCTCCACGGTGATCTCCCGTGTACAACCCCGCAAGATCGTGAGAGCCCTGTTAGTCATGAAACTCCTGGGCATGATGTCCGCAGCCCACGCTGTGGTACCGCTAGGCTTGCTGCACACGAGGCGCTTGCAACGTTGGTTCACCCGCCTCCGGGTGCACCCGATACGTCAGAAGAGACGTATGTTGAGGATTCCCCCTTCAGTGGGCGGGGACCTCGCTCACTGGGGGAACCCCTGCATCCTCTCACGCGGGGTTCCCATCGGACGTCCTGCGTCACACGTATCTGTGTTTACGGATGCGTCACTGTCGGGGTGGGGGGGCACGTGCTTGTCCCATACGGTGGTGGATCGTTGGCCCTCCCACACGCACGAGCACATAAATGTGTTGGAGCTTATGACAGTGAGGAATGTGATCAGACACTTTGCTGCCCTTCTCGAGGGCCGTCATGTCGAAGTTCACACAGACAACCAGGTGGCGGCAGCCTACATAAATCGCCAAGGGGGAGTTCGATCCCTCCCTCTGTTGCGTGTCGCCACAGATTTACTGTGTTGGACACATGTCCACCTGCTGTCCATCAGGGCCATCTACATTCCGGGGGTCCTGAATGTAGCGGCAGACATCCTGTCGAGAGGGGGACCCCGCGACTCCGACTGGCGTCTGCATCCCGCACTGATATCACAGATCTGGATCAGGTTCGGGGAACCGTCTGTGGATCTGTTTGCGGCTCGCGAAAACGCTCAGTGTCGCCTGTGGTTTTCCCTGAGTCCCCGGGACGGACCTCCGCTCGGGGCGGACGCCTTCTCACACCAGCCCTGGCCTCGAGCGCTCCTTTATGCGTTTCCACCAGTCCCTCTGATTCCCCGTCTCTTAGACCGAATTCGGTCGGAACGGCTCCCTGTGATTCTGGTGGCTCCCAGGCGCTTGTCCGCGTCATGGTTTCCGGACCTGCAAGCGCTAGTGTCCGGCTCCCCGTGGAGGCTCCCGTGGAGGGCGGACGCCCTTCTCCAGGCGGATGGGATAATCAAACATCCTCCGGAAATAGGCCAACGGCTGTGGGTCTGGCCGCTGAGCGGTCACGCTTAGAGGCTTCTGGGCTGCTGCATGATGTGGTCGCCACGATTCAGAGTGCGCGGGCGCCCTCTACCATTGCGTCTTACGCTGCTAAATGGGCAGCTTTCCAGAAATGGTGCACAGAGCGGAATGTTCAAGCGCTCTCCTGCCAGCTGGCGGATGTCCTGTCGTTTCTGCAGATACTGATGGACAGGGGCCTCGCCTTCAGCACTATTAAAACATATGCTGCAGCCATCTCATCCTGTCATCAAGGGTTTGGAGATAGATCTGTTTTCAATCATCCCCTCACAAAACGTTTTCTAAAAGGTGTCAGGAGGAACAGACCTGTGTCCCGCCCGCTTTTTCCCCAGTGGGATCTAACGGTGGTTCTGCACGGCTTATCCAAAGCCCCATTTGAACCCTTGGACCAGGTCTCACTCAAGTTCCTGTCACTTAAAACTGCATTGCTGCTAGCGCTAGCATCAGTTAAGAGAGTGAGTGACCTGACCGCCCTTTCAGTGGCTCCCGCATGCCTCAGGATCCGGGAAGATGGCGGGTCTGCTGTTTTATGCCCCAATCCAGCCTTTGTGCCCAAAAGCATTAATGCTTCCTTCAAGTCCAGGTCAATTTCATT